TAGGGAAAGGAAAAGGAAAAGGAGAAGAAGGAATTTGCATTTTGCCCCTTGCTGTTTGTCCCTCCTGTTCATCTTAAAGTAGGTGGATTCCCACCAAGGCTCCGTGAGAGCACACTTAACTTAAGGCAATTTAAATAATACAGCCTTGTTCTGGTATCTGTCTGATGGCACTGACTTCAGTGAAACAAAGCTACCATAAATCTGAGGGCATGGAAGGGACTAAGGTCTACTGAGAAAGATTCCTCAATGTACTTGAGGTAAAACATTTTCAAGATTCATTAAAAACTTTCGTGGAAATAGGATGCTTTTGAAAAAATCCTACTCTTTCAAATAACTAGTACAGAGAATAAGAATCCTAAAAGCCATGAACCAAATTTTCAAAAGAATGGTCTGTACCATGTGAAGCACAGCACTGCTGATGCCTCAATGAGGCAGTCCTCCAGCTGCTTTCGTACTGCCCAGTTTTCACACTCTCCTTTACGTGTTGCAGAAGATACTTGCAGTCACAGTGTGTTCATATACCCGTGCTGCTTCAGCCCTGTTGCACAGGATTTTGAGAAAGGTGATAATTTTATATTACTCCTAGCTTGAACAATTTCTAGGAAAAAAAATAAAAAGATCTGAACGGTTTCTTTCTGAAGCTGAGAAAATGTTAAGCTGTCCTTGAAATTTGTTGTCTTTGTGTTGTTTGTGGGCTACCACCAGTCCCAGCAGTCACCAGTGACCATGAATTCACTATTCTCTGTTGATAAATTACAATTTTATCTTCTTCTGGCTAGGGCTTTTAGTAGCCTGCCAGCTCAAAACCATTGCCTAATATATCATTAGACGGCAAATATGATCCCATGTATGTCTGTGGCGTGTAAGCGGCTCCTACCAAAGCGGGGGCATTCCAGAATCCTGCTGAGGAAGGAAAGCAGTGCCCCAAATCATTTAGACTGCAGATTATTTTTTTCAAATAAAATATTTTTTGTTTTTCAAGGTCAGACATTCGGGGCTGTTCAGGTCACAAGACGCCAGAGACTGTTTACTTTGGAAAACAAGAACAGCAGTGGTGGGAGGTGGTTTTAGCAACACCCAAATCTAGCGTTTTAAACCAAACAGCAGCCTGGCCAAAGGGCAGCTTCACTCATCCTTACTGACACCATGACAGAGAGGAAGAGTGTCCAAGAACTG